ATAGGCAGAGCCATGCTCACTGATTATATACTTATTATTGTTATAAATAAGAACTGCTGCAAATCATATTATTCATATACTAGTATTCAACCAATAGCTATGCATGCACCTTGACAACCAGATGCATATTGATCTGAATTTTTGTACCAGACCCCTTGAAGTTTACTGACATACCAAATTACCATTATGTGTATATTGTACAGTAAGTATGTCTTCATAGGAAGAGACACACAGATACATATTTAGTACACTAGTCAATAGTGTCTGCTGGAGTAGAGGAGGAGGTGTCTGTTATAAGGAGTGTATCTGTTAATAGTATCACATTGTACTAATAATAGTGATAATAGTATTTAATAATAATTGTTTTTAATAGTAGTTTGTCGTTCCCAAACTGTTTGACTGCTCCCACTACTGTCACTAGTAATGTTATCATATCTTCAATGAGACACAGGGGATAATTGTTAGTTTTATAGTAACTGCTGGTAGTTCCGTCAACAACAGCTGCTAATAGGGACTAATAAATAATACATAATAAATGATCCAGTCACTGATCATGTGTACATTATACACTTAATGTTATGAATAGGAACTACTGCAGCATCATATTGTTCATCATCTACTGTGTCTGGTAATCAACTCGATTATGAATAATTTTGTAGATGTTGACTCAAAACCTTTAGAATCAGAATGGCGTTTGATAGGATACAGTGTCTAAGTGTCTTGTATGAGTGGATATTTTGATAATATCTTTTGCATAATGTCATGTTGTTTCTGTTACAGTACCTACTGCTACAGTGTCATCTAATGGAAGCAGTAGATCTACTACTACTAGCAGTGCCAGCAGGCAAACTGTTAGTACTAGTAATACTGATAATGGGAAAAGGTCACTAGGTAAGTAATGTATCACAATGCTGAATAATCTATTAATTCATTACCACCACAGATATAGAGAATGTTGAAATGGTAACAAAGGTTTTAAATAAAGCTTTGTTTGGTGCAACAAAATGGGTGGACTTGGGCCTGAAGCTAGGTCTACTGATGCCAAGACTCAATGTCATTGGAGAAGGAGGTGGTGATGCGTATAAGCACTTGAGGAGGACAATAGAAGCATGGCTAGAGGGAGAAGATAATGTAACTAGTAGAACATGGCAGACTTTGATAGATGCTGTGGAGGGAACAGGAGACCGTGCAGCTGCTGAAAGGATACCTAAGAAACTAAAAACTCTTTACAATATTACACTTTAATAATGATAATAGCATAGTACAGTTTTAAGTAATTATTATGAGTTGAAATGATTGGCATATCCTTTTGGCAGAGGTGCCAGGAGCTAGTAAATAATTGTTATCATTTCAAGTAACAACAGGATAGGGGAAGGGCAGTATAAGGTTTGTCCCAGTACACAAGGAATGGAAAGGTGAATGAGTAAATCATATACTACTGAACTCTTCGTTAGGTTAGTTAAACACAGGAAGCTATCAGTTTTGATAGCAATCAGGTAGCAGGTATATATACCAGTAGTGAGTATCTGCTCACATTAGAAGTTGTTGAGAGTGTTCAGTAACAGAGCTTCATTCTAAACCTTTGACTGTTCTTCTTATAACTGACTAACATGCCAAAAAGTAAGTGCTTGACTATAATATGTAGCTGATGTATATATAATTCTAATCATGTGATGCTTTTGTACTGGTGTGCATATTCAGGTCTATAGGAATAACATAATTTAATTTGTTGCTGTCCTATCTGCCACTTGCTTTGCATGTTGTATACTTTTGTACTAAATTTATTATTTCTTCACACTTTAGAACTGGACATTGATGAGTTGGCCAATGTGATACAACAGTTAGAGGAAGCATGTTTTGCCAAAACTAAATGGAGGACATTAGGAGAGAAACTTGGACTGCATGATAATACACTGAATATGATCAGTGCAAATGAAAGAGGTGACATTGACGGTTGCTTTAGAGAATGCCTTTCAAAGTGGCTGAGAAGAGCTGATAATGTTGATAAAGTTGGTAAACCATCTTTTGATACACTGGCTGATGCTCTTGAGAAAATGAATGAGTGTAAAGATCAAGCTGATGCTATAAGTAAGTGTATAACAAGGACCACATCATTATTCTCATTATAACAACATTATTGCACCAAGCATATTAGTTACCATCTTGCGCCACATGCAATGGCAAAAGTGTAGATACTGTAACATTGTATTTGAAAACTGATACTACATGCAGCAGCTGAGCCATTTTAAAATTATCATAATATTTCCTAATCTACACTCTATCTTTAGGGAAATTAGCACAAGAAGGAGATACCGGCAAAACGGGAGAAAAGAATGCTAAAAGTACGGGTAAGTGAAAATCTAAACAGCAAATTTATTTGTACTTTTCTCTATATAGGGCCAAAAATTGACTCCACTAAGAAAAGCAGCAAAGGTAATATTGACTGCCTGTAACCAATTGTAGCACTTTAGTTAACAAGTCACAATCTAAGCTATGGCTCTCTGCTTAGGCTAAAGTAGTAAACAGATTTTGTCATGAAATTGGTTTGAAAACTAATTAGCTATTGCATTTAAAGTTTAAAAGTCTTGCTTAAGGTAGCAGTTGCAGAAACCCCAATTGTGTGGGAGGGCTGAGGGCCATAATCAACTTATTTCTGTCGGAGTCTGTCCCTCCAAACAAGCACAGCTGCTACTCATAACGCCCACGTATTAATAATAACACTACACACATAAAGTGCTTTGTATTGATAAAGATCTACTAAACTGATCCTCTTTA